GCTATTCTTAATTTTTTAGACGTAGGTGGTTTGTTATCTGACGAATTGGTTTCCGATTTTGCTGTTGTCTAAAGGTGTACGAAACTTTGAAATAAAATACTCTTATAAAAGAATTTTATTTAAATACTTACGCTATCTTTCGTAGGGTCGACTAGAGCCTTGATGTGGACAAGAAGCGTTCTAGCTTTAGTTCGAAATAGCTTTGGGCTGGTTAACGTAATACAACCAGAACGCCAAGACAAATCTAAACTTCGATGTAAATCGATCGGTCCACACAAAATTTCAGTATTATGTTGTCGTTGGTATTCCTCTGTAACTACAGGATTCTCTCCTTTCTGTTCATTACCTATGTTAAAGTCTATTCTTTCATCAACCGGAGTCAACAAAAACTTTTGATGACCGATTCTTTTAATATTTTGTTTTAACAGAGTAATTTGAATTGTTGGTAACTCTTGACAAACTGAATGCAAACTAAACCAAACATCTATATGACCAATATTTCCTGCCGCATTTCGAGGAAGAGTTAATTCAAATATGTGTTCATCCCAAGTAGTACTACAATTTTAATTAAACATAATCAGAAAGATAAATAAGATAAATGTAAATTGTTTAAAGTATTAATGTGTACCGTTCATTGTGTAAACGCCACGTTCGAGTATGATGTTGATTTTCCGATTGATGAAAATGTTGAGGATGACGACGTTGTCTTTGAGCTTGCAACATCTCGTTCCAACATGGTGGAACGGTAGCACCGTATGCAGGAGAATGTCGATCGAATCGTGTTAATTCATAAAGAACACGTAAATCCGCATAAGAGAATCTCAATTTGTGCGCAACTAATTGATCTCTGCAAAAAATATAATATTTAACAGTAATGACATTTGTTAACCTTTTTTTTTAAATCTAATTTCAATCTTACTGAGTAGATGACGTTGAAGTGCTAGGTACTGTATTCTTTTTACTATTTTCCTCTGTTGTCATCATATTAATATCTTCGATATCTTCCTTATCTTCCATAAAATCTTCTTCATCTGTTGTGATAAAAAAGTGAAGTTCACCATCGCTTGTACACGCACACAATCTTTCTAAACCTGAAAATCATCATCATCATCATCATGTTATGAAGAAATTTTATTAATAATAAAAACAGATACAAACGACGTAAACTTACTATTACAATAAGCTGCAGAAATAAATTTTTTTCCTTCTATTCTTGCTTCGCTAATAGTTTTCAATGAATTTAAATTTAATACTCTGATAATGCCATCTTTGCATACTAAAGCTACTTGTCCAACGGGTTCTGGTACACCTGAAGTAGTCTTGCCAGTATTTTCACCAGGCGGGGAACATTTACTTTTCTCCTGAAGAGGTAAAAATACATGCTCGATGGGTGCCTGATCTGCCGGTAACTCGCGTTTTACCACTGGTTCGTTATAAACTTTTACTACTTGACCAGAAAAGTCCAATGCGTACACAAGTAGTATAGCATTTATATTAGTTGAATCATCGTGCATTTCATCGTTTATAAATCTATCAGATTGTGTATCATTATGGTCCCAATACACGTAACCTTTTTGTGGGAAAAATTCACTCTCTTCATCAATATCCATTTGATTATTATTTGACATCGATGAATCTGTGTTGTCTATTGTAGGACACATGGAAACATATAAATGTCTTCCATCTTTAGATGGCTCAATGTGTGTAATTTTAAGAAAATCTGGGGCTTCAATAGGTAAAGTCTTTACAACAACTGGTTCAGTCTTTGTCATTTTTATAATATCTAGACTCTTTTTGTTAACTGTTGTCAAATCAGATGTTGATGCAAAATGTTCTGGACCATTGATAGGGTTGAAATTGGCATCAAATGAACTTGAAGTTGGGGGTACTGTAATACCAATTGGATTTGAATAGATACCATTAGAAGATGATGCAGTAAAAACAGATGTCGGAAAAACACCCTCGAAAGGTGTACTAACTACCATATCTGAATCTACATCCTCTATCACTGGAACATCATAAAAAAATTTATTAACTAAGAATTCTTGGTATAAATTCTCTTGACGTTCTCCGTTTGAACTAGTACTAGTTTCCGTTCCAGACAATGTCTTTTTTGTTTTGGAATCCTTAGTATTGTCTTCTTTCATTGGTTGTGGTATTGCCATTTTATGATAAAAATCGTAAAATACTAAATAGTACAATTTCGATGGTGCATATTTATCACCTGCTACCTTCATTATATCTAAAGTATCACTGGCAGCACTATTTACACTGTTCATTGCATGAACAAGAGATGAAGAAGGAGCTAAATCTGTTGAAGCAGCCCACACATTTTCTAAAGTTCTCAACTGTGATGGGTTATTAACTATCACTGTAACACCACACACTACACACGGCCTGATTTTAGAGTCTAATGCCTCTACAGGTAAAAGCGTAGAACCAGATGTTGTTACTTCGCTAGCTTCAGACTTTACAGAACCTACTACAGACAAAGCTGTAAGTTGCACTTTATGAGATGTTGGGTGTTTATACTCAGCAAAGGGATCTGTTTCCGAATTAAGTGTCCTTAAATACGATGCCAAATTTCTTGCAGAACCAAATTGAATAGACTCTTTATTATTTATTTCTTGATCTACAGGAGGAGAGACCACATAAAATGACACTTCCCTCTGAAAAAGAGATATCATCTAACACTGGTTTTAGAAAGTACCAATTATTACTTACAATTAAAGACTTACCTTTAACTGATTTGTCACATTCCACACAGTAATAAAACCATTATTGGAAGCTGTAGCCACAAGACCACTGACATTTGTAGTGCTAATTACGTTTACACTATCATCTGCTTCTTGTGCAGGAGCTGTGGCAAGGATAACAGATAAAGGAACATTTTGCGTGTATTCTCCTTTAACAAACGGACATGCCGGAGAATGACGTTCATGTTCTGACCAAGGTTCATCCGTTGGTTCCCAACAAACTAAACAAACGTTGCATGTAAAACACATTATCCTATCATCACCTGTTGCATTTGGTTGATGATAAAAACCAGCTTGAGCCATTTGATCTGGTAAAGCCCATCTACAAGGAAACATAGGTATTAGACTAGCGTTTATTAAACTAGCATCAATAAATACAATAACCATTCAAAGTTTATACTTGTAATTCATATGTGGCCATTTTGAAAAAGTTTCTCGACGTGTAGCTTCACTAAACATTACTACTTTATCAGCAGGACCTCCCTCTAATGGCAGGCCTGGTAATAGGCCATTTAGTCGTTCATTGATAGCAGAAGCAATTGGCAATGCTGGAATATGTCGATTTAATCTTTTCAACTCCATTACTAATCCTGAACACACAAGCTTCAGAGAACCATGTGGTAATTCCAGGCATATCGTGTTCCACTGTTACAAAGGAAATAAAAAATGATAGAGATTCAATTGTCTTAAAATATATATAATATGTTTCCTTCGTCGCTTACTTTTTGAGCTTTAATTCCCTTTTTCCTGTTGGCTTTCACTGTAAAAGTTTGAGTTGCTAATTCTTGAATTACTTCTTGTACATGATCTACACCTGGTAGCTCTACACATCGTAGACATTGATATAATAAAGTAGCTTCAGAAAACAATAATTCTAGTTTTACAACATCTTCACTTCTTGAAACAGGTGTTTGTAAAAGAGTATCCAAAAGGAGTACACCATTGTAATCACTACGTACTCCAATTCCTCTTCCATCTGTATATAATATTTTATCTACACCATTTGATAAATATGTACCTTGAAGTTTTCCATTTAATTTGCCTATAAGAATAATAAAAATTGCTAAAATGTCATACTTTAATTCAATAACATATAACATTTTTTTTCTTTACATAAGTAAGATCTATTTGAAAATTTATTACCCTAAAATCATTAATAATCATACATAAGTATAACACAAGAGACAAATATTAATGTAAAATATGTTATCTATCATAATGTGTACGATGAAGCATATTCTTAAAGATTATAATGTTTTTGAGATTCTTGTGATTATAAAAGAATCAATAATGAAAAGATGAAAAATTACGTTTTTTACAATAAATAGAACAAAATGCATAGATAAGAAACAGTAAGAGATACTGTTTAAATCAAAAACTGAAGTAGCTGTAGGAATTTGCCAAAATATTCAAGTCTGAGAAAGGTCATGAGAGGTAGTCATTAACAAAAAAGTAATTGTTTTATCAATAAAACATGTAGATTAGAGGAACTTTAATCATGCCTGACGTTTTATTCACACAATACGACCTTGACCATGAGGCGTGATTGAATAGTACAAGATCTATTATCTACAGAATATGATAAAATGAATCTTTATTAGTAGAATATTCATCCCTGTAGGCTGAAAACGTATTACAATGCTTACCAGATAAAGAACTTTTTTGTAAAATTACTCCTGAGTTGACATCAAATACGTATACTTGCGCCCTGCTATTAGTAATTAGTAACACATTTAGATTAGCATGATAGATTATACTTTTACACTCAGTATACACGTCTAAATAACCGTCTTCCTTTAATAACCACGGATCATCATCAGCCATTTTGCTCATACAGATTATAATTCTCAAAAAACTTGTCTAATGCGCGAACATCACAAAAAACATGGCGTACTCGTCACCGCCATCTTTGAGTAGAACGTCAGCAAATCTCCCTGAAGTTAGTTAATAAATGTCAAACGATTATTTCTATGACGATACATCGATATGTAATTTCCCTGATGTTTATACGTATGAAATTTTTTCAAATGACCCAGGTACTTGGGTGCAATATTCAGTGTCTTTAGTTTAAGGTGTAGAAAAGGATCTTCTATCACTTGCTTTCCACCTTGGGAGAAACTAGGGAGCTTCAAAGAGATTCAGGAAACTTCAAGGAGTACTTCATGTACAAAGATAAGAGCAAATAAAGCAAGCAGTGGAACATTCTTTCATTCTATGTTTCATAAATAAAGAAAAGACATGATAAATGTTATAATATTATGATATATAAATGCACATTACTATATTTATCATAAATATATACAGATTATTAATTGGGTAGAGCAGTTAGGCAGTTCCCCTGAGCACCTTAGCTTCTTTAGCTAATCGTAATTCTTCTAAGTGCTGTTGAACAGTTTCTTCCCTCTGTTGCATAAATTCTTCATGTTCTTTAGGGTCTAAAGTACGTACAATTTTTATACCACAAGAGCGGGCAACACCAACGAGCATTTCACAAACTTGTTTTAAAGACAGCAATGCCATTGGTGGATCTTGAGCTTTAATGCAAGCAATTTCATACAGATGTTTAAATGTTATTTTGCCAGCTACTTCTCCTAAAACAGACATGTAATGTAAGAGTTGTATTAGTTATTATATTTAACTGTTATTACCTGAACTTATTTTTCCTTTTGCAATTCCAGCTGCTTGTTTCAAGAAAAATGAACTTGGTGGATGGTAAATTATTAAATCATAACTTCCATCAGCTTGTACTTTAACACGACATGGCAAAGGTATACCCTCTTTTATATGTGCTGTCTTTTCATTAAACTCTTTGCAAAAATTTGCCACATTAATGTTTCTCTGAAAATAATATAATAAATCTGTTAAGAATATGAACAAATACATAATTTTAAGAAAGTTTAAACAATTCCTGTCATATAATGCTATTTATACATATAAATATAATACAAATTTATCATATAAAAATAATAAATTTTATAACCTGTCCAAGTTGTGATCCAAGTGGTGGCTTAGCATTTGCCAACCCTGCAGGAATATATGTCTGCAAGGGTGAAGAATGATCCACTTTTGGTAGTATCTTCTTAAGTGTACCACGTCCTTTACTCACTAGTTTGGACATTTTTACAAATTTCTACCTACAGAATATTTAACCTTAAATTAGTTTGAACAGTGGTGTATCGAGTTGTAGGAAATCAATTGATAAGTTAGCAAATAGTTTCCGCTGCTTTTTAATAGATGACGCTACTAGTTTATCCCTTGTGGGTACTAGGTCCCACGGGAAAGGAATAATGAAATAAGAGCGACACGAATTTACGGTAAAAATATATCTTTTAATTGCACTGGCTCCTACCAGTGATGCCAGAACCGTGGGACGTGGGACAAATCTTTACCCTCTCCACGACGTCCCACGACGTCCCAGTGACTCCCCTACCGCAGTTGTTTCATCTAACACAAGCGCGTTGTCCCACGTGTCCGTGTGAGCTCTGCGGGTTTGGCAGAGTTCGGCTGCTCTCGTCATTTCTACGATATCGGCTCGATGCTCAAGCCGCTAAAGCACGTGGCAGTAGCATCGACGAATCGACAAAATAATATAATTTCGTCCATGGCAATATGGCTGAAACCAGGAGAATCAGTTCGAATCCCGATTTTACGGTTTCAGTTCTGATTCTTAATGCATTAACGTTTTTTAAATACATAAAAATACATTTTTAATACATTAATACTATGAAATACATTAACTTGGGAAGCAGTTAAAAAAAGGAGTTGAACTGCATCTTTCTTTGATATTTTTTTAATTAATATTTAAGTAATTTCTTCAATTAGATATTACAGTTATTCTAACTATTACAATACGAAAATTCGAAGACATACGAGGAAAATTGGTTAGGTTAAATTGTAAGGATATAAAGAAATTTCAATCTTTAACGGTTTGTCAGTTTTATTTCTTATTCCTTACAACTATTATAATTTTATTCTCTGAATGGTCATTACAATGAAAGATGGATTAGATACAATTTGATTCCTCATTTAATTTGTTATATACATATCAGGTTTCTTGCAACTATTGCACCTGGTCCACGCTTATACGATATTGCACATTTTACTTTCCTATAATACAACAAGGAAACAAAACTATAATATAGTGATTACCATAATACAATAGAAAATGTTAAGCTTGCTATAAACCTTATATTTTTTTTGTGTACTTATGCTGCACTTTCGCTTCGATGCTTTATAATGACTAATGACTGATTTTTCTTTTGAATGAAACTTCCACTAGCGTATTGATGAAATTTTTCGATTAAAACAAGATCAAACACGACATAATTTGAATTATAGTTACTTTATATATTTGCATTAGGTTTTAAATAAATAAGTAAATATAATGCAAATTATATCGTGTTTGGTCTCATTTTAATCAGAAGAACCTTACAATTACATTGGTAAAAGTTTCATTTAGCAAAAATGAAAAATAAAAAAGTTATGGTTAAATTAATATTGTCTCACTCAAATGTTTCTTTTCGTGCCCTTTAATTCTCGGACCTCTTTCTCTTTCGCTATTTGTCCTTTTCTACGCTCGCCAGCATTCAAGAACTCGCTCGAGCTGTGTCGTTCTGCCAGCCTCGCACACTTTTAGGAGAATCGGGAAAATCCAACATAATAACACATTCTATGCTGAAAGAATATACTAACAATAAGTTATCTGTCTAAAAAAATTTTAATAAATCTGACAACAGATTTATTTTCGGGCTGCTTTTCTTAAGTAATCAGCATTTTACCAGTCTCCTGTACAGATCGTGTGTAGCAGTTTGTAGCAAACTCAACATATTTTCGATATTATGTAGAATACACAACCGATCGACAAATATTAAAAATCCAGGATATTTTGTGCCGCTTTTTATATGTCAAGGGCCATCGAAATGAAATAAATGACCAACAATGAATAGTATAATAAAGGTGATCGCTGTTCATCTATTTCTTTTCTACGATGTAGTATAGGATTGCCTCGAAATAAGCAAGTGGCTCGAGACCTAACAGTTGCTTATTTCGAAGCAGAGACCACTTGCTTATTTCGAGGCAATCCTGTATTTCTTCCACAAGAGACAGTTTCCTAACAATTTACAGTACAGTAAAATCTGGATATGCATATGCAAGAGAGATTGGGATCCAAGCGAGGTGTCGAATCTCGGGTTACGCGCGACGCCAGCCAAGCGTGAACGCAGAAAGGGACAGGCAATGGAGGAGAGAGAGAGGTCCAATGATCAAAGGAAAGAGCCGAAACATATCAGTGTGACTAATACTAATTCAGTTATAAAACATTTTTATCTTTGACTTTTTTTAAAGGAAATTTTTACTAGCGCATTGGCCAGATTTTTCTGATTAAAATGATACCAAACACGATATAGTTTGAATTGTAATTACTTGCTAAAATTGATGTTAAAAGTAGACGAAAAGTCAGAGAGATCGAATCAAAACATTGCATATGCATATTCAAGCGAGGTGTCGAAGTTTGATCGGACGTCTTGCATATACCCAGGTTTTACTGTACTGTAAATTGTTAGGAAACCGTCTCTTGTGGAAGAAATACATCGTAGAAAGGAAATAGATGAACAGCGATCACCTTTATTATACTATTCATTGTTAGTCATTTATTTCATGTCAATCGCCTTTAGCATATAAAAAACGGCACAAAATATCCTGCATTTTTAATATTTTTCGATCGGTTGTGTATTCGACGTAATATCGGAAACATGTTGAGTTTGCTACAAACTGCTACACACGATGCGTACAGGAGACTGGTAAAATGCTGATTACTTAAGAAAAGCAGCCCGAAAATAAATCTGTTGTCAGATTTATTAAAATTTTTTTAGACAGATAACTTAGTATATTCTTTCAGCATAGAATGTGTTATTATACTGGACTCTCTTGATTTTGCGTTACACTCAAATATTCGATGAATAGGTAACGAAAATGTGATGCTGGCAGAACGACATAGCTCGAGCGAGTTCTTGAATGCTGGCGAGCGTAGAAAAGGACAAATAGCGAAAGAGAAAGAGGTCCGAGAATTAAAGGGCACGAAAAGAAACATTTGAGTGAGACAATATTAATTTAACCATAACTTTTTTATTTTTCATTTTTGCTAAATGAAACTTTTACCAATGTAATTGTAAGGTTCTTCTGATTAAAATGAGACCAAACACGATATAATTTGCATTATATTTACTTATTTATTTAAAACCTAATGCAAATATAGAAAGTAACTATAATTCAAATTATGTCGTGTTTGATCTTGTTTTAATCGAAAAATTTCATCAATACGCTAGTGGAAGTTTCATTCAAAAGAAAAATCAGTCATTAGTCATTATAAAGCAACGAAGCAGCATAAGTACACAAAAAAACATGTATTTTTATGTATTAAAAAAACGTTAATGCATTAAGAATCAGAACTGAAACCGTAAAATAGGGATTCGAACTGATTCTCCTGGTTTCTTAATTCAGCCATATTGCCATGGACGAAATTATATTATTTTGTCGATTCGTCGATGCTGCTGCCACGTGCTTTAGCGGTTTGAACATCGAGCCGATAACGTAGAAATGACGAAAGCAGCCGAACTCTGTCAAACCCGCAGAGCTCACACGGACACGTGGGACAACGCGCTTGTGTTAGATGAAACAACTGCGGTAGGGGAATCACTGGGACGTCGTGGGACGTCGTGGAGAGGGTAAAAATTTGTCCCACGTCCCACGGTTCTGGCATCACTGGCTCCTACGCCGTGTCACAGCCGACTCTAGTATTAGCCGTGCTGAAGTAAAAATGGCAACACCGCGGGAGTCCGGTTTGAATATATCAACACCTACCCTACTCTATCTGTCTCCCGGACTCCCGGACTCTCAGCCAATCAACGTCGTCAGACTCCCGACTACTCTCTAGACTTCACATAACCTCTTTGGTTTCGTTCCAATAATTTCGCTTGTTTCAAGGTTTTTATTAACTTATATACACGTTTATCAATTCTTAAATGTTTCAATTTGATCCAAAGATGGTTTCATTTTGCTTCATACCTAAATTTTCTTGAAACCACTGTAAATATTTCAAATATCATGCTTCACAACACCAAACTACTTTGAGAGTACACAAAATATATATCACATTTATAACAATTTTATACTACCACATCACTTCTATTTGCCATAGTTGCAACGTTTATATATTGTTTATACATAATTAACACAAAATAGTGTATATTACTACAGCTTTTAATTAAAAAAGACGTTAATTACAATTCCGAGCACAGGACTCTGTTTTTGAAAATAGGACTCCCGATTGTCACGTGAGCGGTGTTGCCACGTTGTTCAGCATGGCTAGTACTAGAGTCGGCTGTGGCCGTGTTTGTACTCTGGCAGTTACGCTTTTTGAATGCCTGGACGCTTGCTTTTTTGCGTCTTGCTAAAACGTACAACAAGCTTACCAAACTAACTATATACTAGAAACTACACAGCCGACTCTAGTACTAGCCATGCTGAACAACGTGGCAACACCGCTCACGTGACAATCGGGAGTCCTATTTTCAAAAACAGAGTCCTGTGCTCGGAATTGTAATTAACGTCTTTTTTAATTAAAATCTGTAGTAATATATACTATTTTGTGTTAATTATGTATAAACAATATATAAACGTTGCAACTATGGCAAATAGAAGTGATGTGGTAGTATAAAATTATTATAAATGTGATATATATTTTGTGTACTCTCAAAGTAGTTAGGTGTTGTGAAGCATGATATTTGAAATATTTACAGTGGTTTCAAGAAAATTTAGGTATGAAGCAAAATGAAACCATCTTTGGATCAAATTGAAACATTTAAGAATTGATGAACGTGTATATAAGTTAACAAAAACCTTGAAACAAGCGAAATTATTGGAACGAAACCAAAGAGGTTATGTGAAGTCCAGAGAGTAGTCGGGAGTCTGACGACGTTGATTGGCTGAGAGTCTGGGAGTCCGGGAGGCAGATAGAGTAGGGTAGGTGTTGATATATTCAGACCGGACTCCCGCGGTGTTGCCATTTTTACTTCAGCACGGCTAGTACTAGAGTCGGCTGTGGAAACTAAAACTAACCTAACTTAACCTAGTGATATTCAGAGGGCGCATAAGAGCGCGCCGATGGTCGCTACATCACTCCGAGTGAGTTAATTAATTTGCGAACGTCACATTTTTCTTTGGTCTATAAGTCTTTACATTTGCACTTAAGTTGCTTTCCTCTTTTTCAGAAAAAGCTGGCTTTAACCTTTGCACTGAGATGTTTATTTCTTTTCCATGGTAATCTATTTTGAAAATTCGGTCGGTAATTCTTTGGACGATTTTAAATGGACCTTCGTAAGG